GAAGATCAAAACATACAACCAGAAGAAGACAACAAAGTCAAAGCTCCCACATCCAAAACCTCCAAGAAAAATATGAAGGCCTTAGAAGAGCTCAAAAGGGATTTTGAGAAGCAAGTAAGAGAAGTAGAGGAAAAACTGGGAAGAGAAATGAAAGTGATGCAAGAAAATCATGAAAAACAAGTCAACAGCTTGCTAAAGGAGACCCAAAAAAATACTGAAGAAAATAACACCTTAAAAAATAGCCTAACCCAAATGGCAAAAGAGGTCCAAAAAGCCAATGAGGAGAAGAATGCCCTAAAAAGAAAAATTGGCCAAATGGAAAAGGAAGTCCAAAAGATTACTGAAGAAAATACTTCCTTAAAAATTAGAATAGAGCAATTGGAAATAGTGACTTTATGAGAAATCAAGACACAGTAAACAAATCCAAAAGAATAAAAAATTAGAAAACAATGTGAAATATCTCATTGGAAAAACAACTGACCTGGAAAATAGATCCAGGAGAGAGAATTTAAAAATTATTGGACTATCTGAAAGCCATGATCAAAAAAAGAGCCTAGACATCATCTTTCAAGAAATTATCAAGGAAAACTGCCCTGATATTTTAGAACCAGAGGGCAAAATAGAAATTGAAAGAATCCACCAATCTCCCCTGAAAGAGATCCCCAAAGGAAAACTCCTAGGAATATTGTAGCCAAATTCCAGAGTTCCCAGGTCAAGGAGAAAATATTGCAAGCAGCCAGAAGAAACAATTCAAGTATGTGGAAACACAATCAGGATAACACAAGATTTAGCAGCTTCTACATTAAGGAGACTGGAGGGCAAAGGAGATAGGATTACAACCAAGAATCACCTACCCAGCAAAACTGAGTATAATCCTTCAGGGGAAAAAATGGTCATTCAGTGAAATAGAGGACTTTCAAGCATTCTTGATGAAAAGACCAGAGCTGAATAGAAAATTTGACTTTCAAATACAAGACTCAAGTGGAACATGAAGAGGTAAACAGGAAAGAGAAATCATAAGAGACTTATTAAGGCTGAACTGTTTACATTCCTGCATGGAAAGATGATATTTATAACTCATGAGACCTTTGTCAGTATTAGGGTAGTGGGAGGGGAAAAATTATATGTATGTATAGATAGATAGATAGATAGATAGATAGATAGATAGATAGATAGATAGATAGATAGATAGAGGGCACAGGGTGAGTTGAAGATGAAGGGGTGATATCTGGAGAATAAAATTAAGGGTGAGAGAGGATTATACTAGGAGAAGGAGAAAGGGAAAGGTAGAATGGAGTATGTTATCTTGCACAAAACAAGAAAAGGTTCTTATACTGGAAGGGAAACAGGGGAAGGTGAGAGGAAATGAGTGAATCTTATTCTCATAGGATTTGGCTTAAGGAAGGAATAACATACACACTCAATTGGGTGTGTATCTATCTTGCCCTACAGGAAAATAGGGGAGAAGGGGACAAGAGAGCAGGGGATGATAGAGGAAGGGCAGATTGGGAAAGGGGTAATCAGAAGGAAGTACTTCTGAGGAGGGACAGGGTCAAAAGAAAGAATAGAATAAATGGGGGGCAGGATAGGATTAAGGGAAATAGAGTTAGTTTTTCACAGCATGTCTACTATGGAAGTGTTTTGCATAACTGCACATGTATAACCTATATTGAGTTGCTCGCCTTTTCAATGAGGATGGGTGGGGTGGGAGGAAGGGAGAAAATTTAAAAAGATTTTTTTAAAAACACATGTTTGAAAAAAAAATGTTTCCACACGCAGCTGAGAAATAAGAAATACAGGAAATTAGGTACAGAAATATGTCCTGCCCTACAGGAAAATAGAAGGGGAAGGGGATAAGAGAAGAGGGGGAGAGCTAGAAGGGAGGGCAGACTAGGGGAAGGGGTATTCAGAATGAGTGCCATCTTGGGGTAGGGGTAGGGGCAAGATGCAGTGAAAATTTGGAACTCAAAATCTTGTGGAAGTAAATGTTGAAAACTAAAAATAAATAAATTTATATATATATATATATATATATATATATATATATATAAAAGAAGTATTTCTTGATATCAACTCAATTTGACTTCTTTGAAATTTCTACCCATTGTTCCTGGTTTCAGCTGTCTGGAATCAAACAGAGTAAATTTAAGCTCTCTTGCACACAGAGAGAGGGCTTTAAATACTTGAAGACAGTTAACATGTCCTTCCTGAGTCTTCTCTTCCTTAAGCTGAACATCTTTACTTCATTCAAGCAATGATTGTACTGTCAGATGATAAGATCTGAGGAAAGCAGAATATGGTGAGAACCATCTCCTTGAATTTTTTTAAGCTAATCTGAACAGTTAATGATTATACCTGCGAATGTATAGGAAAATTTCTTTGTGTATTCAGATTATGATCAACATTTGTTTTTGTATAATCTATATAAACCCACTAAATTTCACCCCTAATAAAATTGCCTAATTAAGGGAACTCTCAGAGATTAGTAAAGTTTTCATCTTCTCATTAACAACAAATTATTTATTTTCTTTGGTGCTAAATTGACTAAATTAGACATTTTGACATGTCATCATAATTTTACACCCTTATTTTTGTTTTTTTCCCATCTAAGTACCCACATATTTGTGTTCATTCTCTTTCCTTTTTCATCTTTTTGACAATTTAAAATTTTTATTATTTATTTAAAATTTTCTTTCTTTTTAAATTTTGAGTTCCAAATTCTCTTCCTCCCTCCCACAACTTTCCCCACTCACTGAGAAGGCAAGCAATATGATATCAATTATACATATGAAATCATGTAAAACATACTTCTATATTAGCCATGTTTTAAAATAAAAGCAAGAAAAATAAAGAAAGTGAGGAAATTATACTTCAATTTGCACTCTGAGTTCATCAGTTCTCTTTCTGGAGGTGGATAGCATTTTTTTTTTTTATCGTGAGTCCTTTAGAATTGTCTTGGATCATTGTATTGATTAGAGTAGCCAAGTCTTTTGCAGTTGATCATTATTACAACATTGCTGTTACTGTGTACCATGATCTTCTGCTTGTTCTCACTTCACTTTGCATCAGTTCATTTTGCCATGTTCTTCTGAAATGACCTTCTTCATTATTTCTTATGGCACCTTAGTACTCCATCATGATCATATGCCACAACTTGTTCAGCCATTCCACAATTGATGGGCATCCCCTCATTTCCCAATTCTTTGCCACCACAAAAAGAGCAGCTACAAATATTTTTGTACATATAGGTTTGTTTTCTTTTTTTAAAAAAAATTCCTTGGGATACAGACCTCATAGTGGTATTGCTGGATCAGAACATGCACAGTTTTATAGCCCTTTGGGCTTGGTTCCAAACTGTTTTCCAGAATGGCTGGATCAGTGCACTACTCCCCCAACACATCTAACAACACACTACTCTACCAACAATTCATTAGCATATCTATTTCCCCCCAAACTCCTCTAGTATTTCTTATTTGTGATAGGTATAACGTGGTACCTCAGGCTTGTTTTAATTTGCATTTCTCTAATCAATATAGTATTTTTCATATGACTATAGATAGTTTTGATTTCTTCTTTTGAAACCTGACTGTTCATATTCTTTGACCATTTATCAATTGGAGGATGTCTCTTATTTTTATAAATTTGACTCTGTACACACATACACACACATACACACACACACACACACACACACACACACACACACACACCCCATGACAGATGAGACCATTATTAGAGGAACTTGCTGTTAATTTTTTTTATTACTTCATTGTCTATGGTACCTTTTAGTAAAATGTAGTTGCCCTGATTATCCCTTTTAATAACATCTAATTTTGCTTTTATCTGAGATTGTGATTGCTCTCCCTGACTTTTTAAAAGTTTATCTGAAGCACGTTAGATTCTTTTTCAGCACTTTACCTCTGTATGTGTTTTTCTGTTTAAGTGTGTTTCTTGTAAACAATTATTTACTTGTTGGATTCTGGTTTATAATCTATTCTGCTATCCACTTCTGTTTTATGGGTGAGCTCATCCCACTCATGCACAGTTTTATTACTAAATATATATTTCCCTCCATCCTGTTTTCTTCTATTTCTTCTCTTTTTAATCCTGCTCCTCCTCAAAAGTCTATTTTGCTTCTAACCAATGACTCCTTTTATCTGTCCTCCCTTTTTTTTTAACCTCCCCTTTCTCTTATCCCATTCCTTCCTATTTTCCTATTGTGTAAATTACATTTCTATACACAACTGAGTGTGTATATATATTCTTTCCTCTTTGAACTAATTCTGGTAAGAGTTTATCTGTGGGTAGGCCTTTTGGTCTTTTCTATTTTTATTTCTTCTAGCACCTAGCCTGGGACTTTGCATAAAGTAGGTCTTCAGTAAACAGTTGTTAAACTGAACCAAATTGTCATTTGAGACTCTAGGTTTCTAGAAGTGGGGGAATTTAGCCTTCCATCTTGCCTATACTTTCCACATGTAGCATATTCTGCTCTACTCAGTAAACTCCTTTGGCTCCCTATGAGCTAGAGAATCAACTGTTTTCATCTTTATGTTACCCTTTCACAATGTCTATTTCTTGTATAAGGTTTGTAACCTATTTAATTATCAATATAGTAGCACATGTATATCACTTACAAATAATTATATATATGTATATGTGTTCATATACATACATACATACATACATACATACACATTGAGGGATTATGCTCAGTTTTTTTTTTTCTGATTGGATGAATGATCAAAAAGGTTTGGAGACCATTGGCCTAAATAAATGGTTGGTGGTAGAGATACATCTCTAACTGTGCAGATTACCCCATATCTCCATGCCTTTTCATCTTATACGTCTTATTCTTAATCCTAACCTTATAGCTGAACTCTACTTTGATATGAGGCCTTCTTAGATTTGTTTGCTGTTCAGGGTTGGTTGGTCTTCTTCCTGTCCTCAAGATATTATCTGATTTAAGTCACTGGTTTTGAGTTATAACCATCTTTTAACACTCCTTTTTGGTAGCTTTTATTCTTTTTTTCTGGGGGGGGGAGGCGTTCCCAAGTTTATTGGAAAGAAAGCAAAAGTAAATATTAAACAGCTCTTCTTGGTGTTTTGAAGTTCATCCCAACCGTGAGCTAGGTAACTTGCAGGTTGGACAAACTGCCAAAGTCCAGGAGTTTCAACATTTCTTTGGTATCAGGGTCCTCTTTAATGATTTCCTGATCCAAAGCAGACACCTCAGGGGTATAGTTGTCCCTCCTTTCTCTTTCCTCTTCCTGCAGTTTGATGGAGATACCTCTCACAGGGCCTCTCTGAATCCTCATCATCAGATGAGTGACATAGCCTGCGATCTTGTTGCAGAGCTTCTTGCTGGGGATGATGGCGAGCTCCTCACACACACGCTTGTTGGTGTGGAAGTCATTGCCTGGGCAAGTGTAGTCCTTCTCGATGATGACTCGCGCTGCCTTCTTCACGGTCTTGGTCCAAATGCGACCCATGTTGGCTCTGGAGGATGAAGTCTGGTAGCTTCTTGTTCCACCCCCTCCCATACCCCAAGACTAACTTGTCTCTCTCTATCCCTGTCCTTCCTTCCCCCATACTCAAGGTCTTTGCGTATCCTTGCTATGAACAGGACTAGTTCAGACATCACAGTCAGGTCTTTGTGATGTCATGGTTTAAGTACACTGGTGGCCCAAGTTGCTTGAAGTATCTTGGTGGACCATCTGGTTGTGCTGTTCCTTTACATTCAAGTCTTGACAAATCCTGTCAATTCCTGTGCTGTTAGTCTCCTGCTATAAGAAACATGGTAGGTAACATTTGGGCATCATACTATTTCAGGGAAAATGAATATGTTTGGTGTTTAAAGTTTAGATTCTTACTTATTATTTATTTATTCTGAGATGTGTTCATTGATAGCAATAGTTCAGTATGACCATGAAAAAACCTATGGGAAAAGAATTTTAGTGTTAAGGTAAATTTTTCTTCCAAGCTGAATTTTTAATTCACTGCTAGTATAGATCTAGTAATTAATTTGAACACAAAGATAGCTATGGTATAAAAGAAAGGACAGATATTAATTTGTTTCCCTGATCATGGAACATCTTGGAAAGAGAGGACATTTTCTCAAAAGATATTCTAGCATGTAAGAATATATTGAGCTTTTTTCTTGTGTCCAAGGAGAGCATGTGGGTCTGAATAATTATTCAGGGTAAGAGACATGTTATGACATAAAAATTCACCATTGCATGGGGACTTTGCTAGTTGATGCATTTATTTACTTCCATTAGTGTTATTTTTATCTATGGACTTGATGGCATGTACCAACTCCCCTGGTCCAGTGGCATGGGGTTGCCTGTCTAGAACCTCCGAGTGTGTTTCTCTTCTGAGAGAAGTGTGAATCCTTTGAACTTTTCTGGGATGGGAATAAAAGGTTTTTCTGTATCTGATTGTTACTTTTAGTGTTTATGTAGGCTATGGAAATCTTGTTACCTACACCTAGAATCACAGAATTTTAGAATATGAAGGGATGTCAGTGGATATCTAGTCTGACCCATACCAGAAAATGATCAACATCATAAGATACCTGAAAAGTAGTCAGGCATTTGATCACTTTCAAGGAGCTAATATAATACTTTCTGAGGCAGACCATTCCATTTTGGGAAAGTTTTGACAGTTAGTAAGGTTTTCTGGATCTGAAGCCAAAATTTGTTTTTCTTTTAATCTAGACTTTAATCAATTCTAAATACATCTAATTGTATAGTTGTTTGCTCCATATCTTCTTTTCCTATCATAACAGAATCATATGTTTACTGAATGATTTATTAAACTCTAGGTAAATTCTATCTCTAACATTCCTCTGATCTATACTTTTAGTAATATTGTCAAAAAGGTTAATGTGACATGACCTGTTTTTGATAAAGACATGCTTCATTATATTTTTGATGTCACTAATTCTTTTCCTAAATTTTAACTATCTCCTTATGATCCATTCTAAAACTATCCTAGAGATCAAAGTCAAACACACTGGCACATAATTTGCAATATTCTCTTCCTATTCTTCTTCCTCTTCTTTTTCTTTTTTGAGGGCAACAATGTCAAAACAGCTACATGTAAAGCCTCAAAGAAAAATGAGATTTGGTCTCAGGACCAAAAAGAACTCCTGGAAGAGCTCAAAAAGGAAATTAAAAATCAAATAAGAGAGGTAGAAGAAAAATTGGGAAAAGAAATCAGAGTGATGCAAGAGAATCATGAAAAAAGTGTCAACAGATTGATAAAGGAAGCACAAAAAATGGAAAAAGATGTACAAAAATTCACTAAAGAATACAACTTTTTAAAAAGTAGAATTGGCCAAATGGAAAAGGAGATACAGAAATTTATTAAAGAAAAGAACTCCTTAAGAAGTAGAATTGGTGAAATGGAAAAAGAGGTACAAAAGCTCACTGATTAAAATCATTCCTTAAAGGTTAGAATTGGGCAAGTGGAAGCTAAGGACTCCATAAGACACCAAGAAAGAAAAAAAATTTCAAAAGAATTTTTAAAAAATGGAATGAAATGTGAAATATCTCATCAGAAAAACAATTGACCTGGAAAATAGATGAAAGAGAGATAATTTAAGAATTATTGGACTACCTGAAAACCATAATCAAAAAACCAACCAAACAGATTTCAGACATAATATTTCAAGAAACTATTAAGGAAAACTGCCATTATTTCTTAGATCCAGAGTGTAAGCTATAAATTGAAAGAATCTTTCAATAACCTCCTGCAAAAGATCTCAAAATGAAAACTCCCAGCAATATTATAGCCAAATTTGAGAGAGAAAATACTTCAAAAGCAACCATAAAGAAAAAATTCAGATACTGTAGAGTCACAATCAGGATCACACCCAATTGACTAGCTTCCACATTAAAGGAGCAGAGAGCTTGGAATATAATATTCTGGAAGACAAAGGAGCTAGCATTACAACCAAGAATCAACTACCCAGCAAAACTGAGTATAATCCTTCAGGGGGAAAATGGATGTTCAATGAAATAGAGGACTTTCAAATATTTGTGATGAAAAAAAGATCAGAGCTAAACAGAAAATCTGATTTTCAAATAAAGGATTTAAGAGAAGCATAAAAAGGTAAACAGGAAAGAGAAAACATAAAGGATTGCATAAGGTTAAACTGTTAACATTCCTACATGGAAAGATGATACTTGTAATGCTTAAGAACTTTATTACTATTAAAACAGTGAGAGTATACATAGACAGAGGGCATGGGTATAAGTTGATTTTGATGGGATGATATCCAACATATCTCTTCTTCAAATTAAGGAGTAAGAAAGAGGATTGCACTAGGAGAAAAGGGAAGGGAGAGGTAGAATGGGGTAAGTTATCTTACATGAAGAGGGGTGAAAGACCTATTACTGCATAGGGAAAGATGGAGGGGTGGCAGGCAATAACTGAGGCTTACTCTCACCAGAATTGGCTAAAATAGGGAATAACATATACACTCAGTTGGGTATAGAAATCTTACCCTTTAGGGAAGGAAATATGGATATAGAAGGAGAATGGATTGGGGGAGGTGGTGATGGGAAGCAAAACACTTTTGAGGAGGGACAGGGTGAAAGGAGAGAGAGACAGGATAAACAGAGGGAAGAATGGGATAGAGGGAAATACACAGAAATAATCATTGTGAAGATGAATGGGATGAACTCATATATTAAACAAAAGTGAATAGCAGAGCAGATTGAAAACCAGAATCTTACAATGTATTGTTTACAAGAAACACATTTTAAGCAGAGAGATACACACAAAGTAAAGATAAGGGGGCCAGAGCAGAATCCATTATGCTTCCACTGAAGTAAAAACAAAGCAAAAAAGCAGGGATAGCAATCACAGTCTTAGGCAAAGCAAAAGAAAAAACAGATGTAATTAAGAGATAAGGAAGGAAGTTAAATCTTGCTAAAAGGTACTACAGATGATGAAGTAATATCAATACTAAACATATATGTACCAAATGGTAAAGCATCCAGACTTTTAAAGGAGAAGTTAAATGAGTTACAGGGAGAAATAGACATAAGAAAAACTACAATAGTGAGAGAACCTCAAATTTCCCTTCTCAGAATTAACTAAATCTAACAAAAAAATTAACAAGAAGTTACGGAGGTAAATAGAATTTTAGAAAATTAAGATACGATATATCTACAAAGGAAATTGAATGGGAATAGAAAGGAATATACCTTTTTTTCTTAGTGGTACATGGCACCTACACAAAAATGTACAATGTATTATTAGGATATAAAATTTCCACAATCAAATGCAGAAAAGCAGAAATGTTAAATACATCACTTTAGGATCATAATACAATAAAATTATTTTTAATAAAGGACCATGGACAGTTAGATTAAAAATTGATTAGAAAGTAAATAATCTCATCTGAAAAAAATGAGTGGATCAAGGAACAATTCATAGAAACAATAATTTCATTAAAAAGAATGACAACAATGAGACAACATATCAAATTTGCAGGATGCAGCCAAAGCAGAACTTAAGGGAAAATTTATATAACTAAACACATACATCAATAAAATAGAGAAAGAGCAGATCAATGAATTAGGCATCCAACTTAAGAAAAAAACTAGAGAAAAAATTTTTAAAAACTCCCAATCAAACACCAAATTGGAAATCATGAAAATCCAAGGAGAAATTAATGAAATTGAAAGTAAGAAACCAATTGAATTAATAAAAATAAAACCAGCAACTGGTTTTGTGAGAAAAAAACAATAAAATAGATAAACCATTGGTTAATTTGATTTAAAAAAAAAAGAAAACCAAATTACCAATATCAAAAATGAAAAGGGTAAATTCACTAATAATGAAGAAGAAATTATAGCAATTATTAAGAACTATTTTGCCTAAGTATATGCCAATAAATCTGACAAGCTAAACGAAATATATGAATATTTACAAAAATATAAATTGCCCAGATGAACAGAAGAGGAAATAGAATACTGAAATAATCACATCTCAAAAAAAGAAATTGAATAAGCCATCAGTGAACGCCCTAAGAAAAAAACCCGAGGTTCAGATGGATTCACAAGTGAATTCTGCCAAACATTTAAAGAAGAATTAGTTTCATTACTATATAAACTAGTCAGAAAAAAATAGGCACAGAAGGAATCCTACCAAATTCCTTTTGTGACACAAATATGGTGCTGATACATAAACCAGGGAGAGTAAAAACAGAGAAAGAAAACTATAGACCAATTTACCTAATACATGTTGATGTAAAAATTTTAAATAAAATATTAGCAAGGAAATTACATTACTATATTACAAAGATTTTATATTGTGACCAAGTGTAATTTATACCAGAAATGCAGGGCTGGTTCAATATTAGGAAAACTGTCAGCATATTTGACCACATCAATAACAAAACCAACAGAAATCATACGATTATCTCAATAGATGCAGAAAAAGCTTTTTACAAAATATAGCACCCATTCCTATCAAAAACATTAGAGAGCATGGGAATAAATGGAGCTTTCCTCAGAATGGTAAGTAGTATCTATCTAATACCATCAGCAAACATTATATATAATGGCAATAAGTTACAAGTGTT